GCATTTTAAGAAATTTAGCTGCGAAAGATGTGGTTTTGCAAATCACTGCTTTATATTTGTCTCTTTTTATATATCTTTATTTTTGATGATTCTTCATATCATTGTCATCTACGTGTGATAGTGTTTTGGTCAAATTTTTATCCATTTATCAAACCATCATAATCTGAGGTGACTCCGATCCATATTGACGCAAATTGCTTATTTGCCTATGATTTTCTCTCTTTGGCTAGTTTTTAAAGGCGTACGTTAACCGAAGATTCAGATGTGTCAAAGAGAATGACATTTTTTATTGTTGTCTCTTTCCTCCGCATCTGATATTCGTTTGTTTTATAATTCTCTTATAAAATTATTGTCCTACATCCACACTTGAGATGCTCTTACATTGGACTAACCGAATCTCTGCCTAGTTGCTCTCTGTGGCCAGCTGATAAACCGTAAAGTTATTGTGGTTGGCATGGCAAAATATCTTCAAGCCTTATTTCTTCCAAATTGTCTTAACTCCGTACTCTTGGATTTGCTGTCATGTTTCTTATCATGGTGATAAACGAATTTTGCATGAAACTGCTCTTAAGATGAGCTAACTGCAAGGTATGAAAATACCAAGTAGTTACTAAGCCAAATCTTCCGTCGAAAAATGGCGGATTTGAATTCTAATCGGGTGGTAACTAAACTTACGTCATTTCACTTAGCGACGCGTGCCTCTAGAAGTAAAGGCAATAAATGATTACGCACAGGTGACCGTGTAGCTATGGTAATTATTGCCATTTAGATCACTCATTCACACTTACTATTGGTATTCTGAATTTATTGGTTTTAGACGAATTCAAGCTTTCTTAATTTTTGTGGCCGCTGATGAGACTAGAAGTTGTTAATGCAAATTGTTGGACCCATGTTTGCGCAATATGGGGACGAAAGATTTTCATATCTTTCCTCGATTTAGTTAACAAGTGATTATCATCTGGACAGGGGATATTAACCATGATTTCTTTGCAAATTGCTGTCGACGGCGACTTTATTGTTGCGACATAAATTTAAAAATATATGCAGCAACACAGTGTTAACCGAATATGTACGTTTTGTGGAGACTAGCGTTAAGTGTTCGCTATTTCCATTTGCTTACGGATTAACAGTTAGTGTTACGCCGTTAATATATTATTTTATTTTCAGCACCAGTGCAGGCGATTTTTGATTTCGTTAAAGAGTCAGTCGAAAACTGCGCCAGTCATCAGGACCAACCGGAACTCTCGTGACCCGTTGTTTAGACATTCATGGATGAGCAGCACTCCTCAGCAAGTGTCTTTCGTGAAATCAAACGACCAACTGGATTTATGTGAGCAAAATATGAATTAGCATAATATATTCGTGGCCGTCGATTGCACGTTGTGCAATTAGTTACTGAGCCGTCCTCCATTTCCCCATCCGAAAGAACGCTTTTCGTTTTTTCTATTGCCAGGAAGTGTCCTCTGTTATGCTGTCTGTTTTGGTGATGTTCAGCTACATGAACACCTGGGCTCAGTAGATAGAGCGTTTGACTCAGAATCGAGAAGTTTGGAGAACAAATTCCTGTCCGGTCGTTCGTTTTTCTGTCAGGGTTGGTAGTGACTACCAGTCTGTGGAAAGGAAAATGGAAGCTAAACCCCATGCTTGCCACATAGTTGTACATTCTGCCTCTCAGTAAAAACACCCTTGGTTAATGGCACTGTTTCCATTTATGAAAGTGTAACTTAAATCAACATTCTAACTGTTACAAGCTTTTCATTTTTCAGCTATAAACTCATGGTAAAACGTTTAACGTTGTCCTTTTGGATTCGTTTCTCATTCTGTCTTCAAGGCAAGCACTTAGTAGTTGGCGTTCTTGTAAAAACGCTCCAAAGAATCAAAGACATTTTATGTCGACTGGGCTAATGTTTCCCGGAGTTAAGCTTATCAACGTCCGTTGTAATGTTGAGTTGATTTCATGACCTTCTCTGCATAATCTCATTTATATCGGCATTGGACGTCGTTTTACAATATAGTATGTAAATAGATTTTATAATCGCTTATTTGAAAGCTTGATTTTATTCATAATATTTAAAGTAGATAGATGTTTAGTAAGGAACAGTTTGTATTTCAACTTTATTTATTTTATTATTTTTCGTGTTTATTTTGAACTTCTTTACTAAATATTTGTAAACGCCTTTTTATGGCATTTATCAGACAACAGCTCATCTGATTTCATAGATATTGATC